AACGACAATATACATATTTCCTCAAACACATCAAATTGAGGCTCATTAAAATCAAACAAGCAACAAGTAAATGATGCATCATTTCAAAGTCATTTGAAACAATTCTCCGAAGTTCAAGTGCATTACAACACGATCTAATAGAACATTTTCCACAAATTTGTTACAAAAAGTCCACCAATACCTGTTTTTTAAAAATTGTTTGAATTCCTGCAGCTTCCATTTGTCATAGCTTTCAAATCTTTTGAAGTGTTCCTCTGCATGGAACTTTTCTGAAGTGCTATTATAAGCAAACACCAGCCCACACTGGGCGCCAATGGCACCTCTTCGGACCTAAAAGAACAAATCCAGAGCAATGTAATAAAAAGCCGACAGTTAAATAAGGTGCTGCTTTCACAGAAAAAAAAAAAAAGCTACAGAAAGTAACTAGATACTGACAACACTGATCTCAGGAATTCCACTTTTTACCTAAAGAAAAATGAAACACATTTAGAGAAGTATTATGAAAACTCTTGTACTCCACTGAACCAGGATCATGTACGTGGTTAATATTTGCTACATTTGTCACACTGCTAGCACCCTAACATGAACTAGAGTTCCACATATTAATTATCATTCTAATTTTGTATACTTTATTTAAAAAAAACAAAACAAAACAAACAAAAGTAAAACTATATATCCCAGTATCACTACACTACACAAAACAGCTTAGCTGTCTCTCCAGCTCTGGTTAGAATTTATTTGCCAGAAGTCCATCCATGTTCAATTCTCTTTGACACCGAAATATGTATCCCTGTTCCAGGAATTAAACTACTGCTTTGCGTTAAATAAATTCAGCTGCAGAAATCTCAGTGAGGATTTGTCCTGGCCATGAGATCACAAGATCTTGCTTTTAAATCAGACAAAAATCACACCAGGTGTTCAAATTACACTGATGTCTCAAAAGAATTTGAAAGATTCTACATTTAATCTGAACTCACATGCTATATGTCTTGAAACCTGCTATTCACAAAGTCTAAAAATTATTTTAAATATAACATATAAGATCTTACAAACAAATCCATCCTCTTTAGAGAGAAACCATATACCTAAGAGTCACTGGCTTGAATATATTGCAAGATACAGACAAAAGCAATATAAAACAAATGCCTTTATCACATGCTTGTGGCACCCTGGAACAGTTTTAAGACCTCCCTTTTCTTAAGTTCCCCGAGACTTACACCAAAGTAAAACTCTAAAATAACACTATTTCATGACAAATTTAAAATTTCAGTTCATACCAAAAAATATTTTAATTCAACTGTACCACTAGGGAAAAAAGCAAGCCTTCTATTTCAAAAGCATAGAGGAACTACATACCTTTATTCTAATTTGTGTCACTTGAAATGAAGATTCAGTTCCAGTAGAAAGAATAATACTTGCTCTGGTTTTCCCAGTTTCAGTCAGAAAACCTAACGCAAGAGTAGGAATAAAATGAGGTTGGACGGACTGCTGGCACGAGGTGTTTGAAAGAGAACACTAAGATTGTGGACTAAAGGGGGAAAAAACCCCACAATGCTCATAACAAAGTGTTCCCAAATTAAAGAGTAAAAGACAAGTTAAAAAAGATTGTATCATGTTAGTATATGCTCCTGGAGAGTACACACATGTGTCTCCAGCCAGTGTCTTTCCAGGGAATGCAGTATCTACAGCTCTTTCAAGAGTGTTTCACCATTGACGCTTACTAGTAACTCCCAAATATTACTTTGGCTTATGGTTCACTGACACAACTCACTGCTCCTCAGACTGCAATTCATAAAACATCGGAAGACAATCCACAAAATAACTGAACTCAAACAACAAACACAAGCAAAAGAAGGCGTCAAATAAGCATTTAGAATGTGCCTGATTTTCTATCATATTAGCTTTTCAAAAAAATGTTAGGTAGCATTTCACTCAAAAAGGAGGTCGAGAAATACAAATCTCTTTCTTTAGGTTGTATTCAGTACATAAAAACATTGTATTAACAAAGACAGGCTTTAAAGGAGAATTAATAGTGAAAACTTCAATGATTTCTATCATCTCTCCATCAATATTTGGGAAAGTAGCAGTGAATGACTCATGACTTCGACCTACAAAATGGGTTCTAGCATCATTTCCTTTGTGACAGCTCATTGTTGACTTCCACATAGAATATCAATAATTCTCCTCAAAATCCAATCTTTTTTTCGGCTGTTTTGTTTTGACAAACCGGCCTCTGAGAAATTCACCTTCTTGTAAAATAGAATTTACATATTGCTTTGTGGAGAGAGGTTTTTGTTGTTGTTGGCTTGTTTGTTTGTTTGAACAGATCTTCCACATCACTAAACTATTGAGTAGCACCAAATACATATAAGGATATATGCAACAGCACCATAGCCTTGTTAAGAGCCTTTGTGCCGGTTAAATATTGTGGATTTTAAGTCCAGGTTCTTACCATCCCCAGTCCATGGCTCTACAAGGAGGTTTTCAGGCCCTGATTTATCTTCTTTTCCCTTTACATCACATGCTTGCAGAGTTAGTCGCAATGGTTTTCCTAAACAAGAAAATTAACATGTTTATCAAAGTCATAAAATAGCAAGCCTATTTTCCAGTTTTAAGTTCTTCACACAGAAAACGAATTAAAAAAAAACAAACAAACACAATACTCTGAGCTTTTTACCACTGTCGGACAAAAAAGGAGGAAGAAATCGGAATGTAAGAGATATGGTAATCTAACATAGCTAAAGTTTTAGACATGGACAGAAGGACAATGAAAATCATGGCAACCAATGTTCTCTCAACTATTTGCACACTTTGGAATTCGCAATCCATGAAATACCACTCTTGTATTGCAAAAAGCAGCAACTACTATGAAAAAAATAAAACCATTTTCAAAACTTTTGAAAGTAAACACTGATATAATAATTACAAAATGATTAATGTACTCTTTGGCACAAGCCAAGATGTCCTGACAAAACATACTAAAAGGCAAACAAAGGGAAAAATTCTTCATGAGAGACTAACGATAATCTCAGAAGTTGACACTCGAGAAAATACAGATTCATCAAACAAGTACAGTCAATAAAGCAAAATCTTACGCCTTATGCCAGACCATGCACAGCTCTACACTTATGACATATTCGGATTAATTGATTAAAGTGAAAATAAAAGAACTATAAATAGATGCTAAAGACATTACATTTAAAACATCTTAAATTCATGCGCATGCATGTCTGCAAGAGAGATCACTTACTGAGGCTAAACCTAGAAAAAAGTTCAGCATGTTATTGAAAAAATAAAAATATCTGATATCATTTGCCTTTTATACAATAAAACCACTATCGCCATCTTGATATAGGAGGCACGATCTTAAAAATTCATGTTTTCTCCCTCAAGATGATGCCACCTGATTCAATTCTTAGATCACAGAAAGGTGATCTAATCACCAACTTTTGGGTCAGTTCAGCTTCACAGGCTATCTTCTTGGTAACAGTTGTTAATTTAGAAGTTTTGTATAATTTTAAACCTCAGCAGAACAACAAGTAAAACAACTCAGAAAGCTGCATATTGCCTTAAATACATATAGAAAAGGATCCAGCAATTATTCATTTACCATATTTATACAGCAGGTTCTGTCTAACTGTTGCCATGGAAGCGATAAGTGATGAAGCCTTGTATGGAGTGTCCAGATGATCAGTGATTGTACAAAGGGAACTTATCACTTTAGCAACACTCCCCCTGGCTAAGGCAAAGGCCAAGAGTGTAAGTTCAACCTCTGGAGTAGTACAACAACTGGGGAGGGAAAAAACAACAGCATGAAAAGAAAAATCAAGACACTATTTTAAATACAGACAAATAATGCTCACATGGAAAAATCTAAGGTGCTTGTTTCTTAATGTCTTTGAATCTTTCAAGATACTAAAAAAGAGCAGGTGAGTAAAAATGAGATATGTTTGCTATACAAATTCTTCTAAACCATTTTGCACTATATCAAAAGATATCAACACAATCTCACCTTGTTATTCTTATAAGGAAGCTATCGACTTCTTCCAAAACATTTGGAGATAAGAAGCTTGAAAAATCTGCAGAGCCTGGTGTAAGAGACAGAGGTGGCATGTGTTGCAGTGCTTTCCTAGTAAAAAAAGGACAGAATATAACATCAGAAAAACAGACAGAATCAGAGAAAACAGCCTTCTAAAATGAATTAGGCATTTGAATCTTCATGATTTTATGAGCAGGTCTCTACAAATAGATTTTGAATGCAGAAGATCTATTTACACAAAGAATCTGTTCAAAAGGTAAAAATTCTAGGCAGAGGAAGTTCAACAACTGCTAGGTAGTCTGGAATCTTGGCCTCAATCTCAGATTTAATGGGACGAATCAACTGGTTTTGAGTTAAATCTGTGACAGCATTAGAAACAGCTTAGTGTCCAAGTACTGCTTCATTTTAAATAGTTCTGGAATTGAGCAAGAGTCCGTTAATAAAGGGAAAATTGCTTTTAAATTATTTCAGAACAATTACAGAAACTAAGAGAGTTAACTCAGATCAGAATTTTTGTCTGGTTTCCTAAGATAATGTAATAATTCCTGAAAACAGGGATTCTTAAGTGGTTTCATCAAAGTCACTCTAACCAATACTAAAGTTTGGGTTTTCACTTTATAATTTCAAATAATGAATTTTTAATTCCCGAACGCATGTTTTCAGTCAAGATTTCCCCTTCATAACTTTTTTAGGCTTTATTAGCTCAGGATCCATATTATACTTCTAACAAATATCTAAACTGTAGCAAGACTGAAGGCTCTCAGTTTTAGTAAAACTTGGAACTATGAACTTTCCTCAGACATAAGCATGTATAGAGTTATCTAAACCTTAAAGAAGTTCCATAGGTTACACAAATTAAGGATAGGCTCAATGGACTTTAGCCTGCAGTATTCATTAACCCAATGACTGCAGTGTTCTGAATTTGGTGCCATCCTGCTAACTAAGCTCTATAAACGTTGATATGGGTGTGTAGCAACGTTACTGGGATTCCAACCCTCCAAGTCATCGAGCAGAAGCATTTGGCAGTCAGACAAGGAAATGTTACACAGAAAACTGCCCATCACCACAAGCAAACAACCGCGCAGAAATATTGCATGTACCCAACTATATCCCCCTGTCATACATAAGAAGGCATTACATAATCAAGAATTTGCTGAAAATTAAGCTAAATTAAGCTCCATTCATAAGTGGAAGGTGTCCAATATTTACAATCAATAAAATTAACACAGAAAATAATTCATCAATTTTAGGCTTCTCCAAATAATAATTCAAAGGATAGGTAAAAACCATATTTTTCAGTGTCTGTTCAATCATGGCTTAACAACTACATTAGATAAAACAGCTAGAAGAATTATACTTATTCCAATATGTGCAAACAGATAAAAGAGAAATATCAAAATTTAAACAGTGTGATAGCTGAAAAGATGTTTAAACACACTAATGGAGGGAGCGGTAACCAGTTACGCAAGATAGATTTGTTTACTAAAGCTGGAAGTTATTGAAAAAATAAATAAAAATCACACACCATGAAAGTTTGGTACTTACTGTGTATTTTGTAAAATAGTGTGAACAAATGCTGGATTTGTTTCCATGGAAGCTGTTACCAGAGAGGTCAGCAGAGACCAGTACCAGATAGCAGAAGCATCGCACACAGAGACGCCCACCTTCTTAACTCTTTGATAACCAACGGCTCTGAGTCCATGGATTCTAGTGTCACATCCATCACTAAGGCAACGCTTGATGTTTATCTGTACATCTGTCAAAACACAAAATAGAATTTTTTTTCCCCATTTCTTCTGTTGGATTAGATCTAGAAGAATCCAGATATTCAAAACAATAATTACTGCAAAACCTCTTAGCAAAATAGCAGCAGACATGTAACAGTACTCCCACATATAGACAACTATACATACGTTTCTTCACTGTGCATCCCGTGATTTGGAAAATTTAACTTTTGAACAGCCTATGTCAGCCATTACATAGTGTATGGCTAGAAATCAGGAAAAAAGTAGGAAAACACCCTCAAAGTGGAAAACAGATTATAGATTTTTTTCACCAGTACCTTTTTACCTACATACATAGGAAGTGTCTAGGGAGTGGCAGTGGAGAAGATAGGGAAAAAGAGTAAAGCCTAAAAGCAAAGTTTTAAGTTACATAAAAATGTTCACATAAGTTTTGACCATTTTGAGAGAGGTTTCTCTCTGGTGAGGCCACATCTGGGCCTCTCAGTTCAAGGAGGACAAGGAACTGCTTGAGAGAGTCCAGCGCAGGGCCACAACGATCATTAAGGGAGTGGAGCATCTCCCTTCTGAGGAAAGGCTGAGGGAGCTGGGTCTCTCTAGCTTGGAGAAGAGGAGACTGAGGGGGGACCTCATTAACGTTTATAAATATGTAAAGGGTGACTGTCATGAGGATGGAGCCAGGCTCTTCTCAGTGGCATCCAATCACAGGACAAGGGGAAATGGATATAAACTGGAACATAGGAGGTTCCACTTAAACAGGAGGAAGAACTTCTTCCCAGTAAGGGTAACAGAACACTGGAACAGGCTGCCCAGAGAGGCTGTGGAGTCTCCTTCTCTGGAGATGTTCAAAACCCGCCGGGATGCGTTCTTGTGTGATCTGATCTAGGTGGTCCTGCTCCGGCAGGGGGATTGAACTAGATGATCCTTTGAGGTCCCTTTCAATCCCTGACATTCTGTGATTTTGCACAGATAACAGTGTCCTAGTTACTTCTGAGGAACAACATCCTTGCTGTCTGCTTCTGCGGCACTGGAAGTTCATCTTAGGGAAAAGCACCTATTTGAACTAAAGGGACAAAATTCCTTAAGCTGCAGAAACCATCTTAGGAAGGAGCAGCTTTCCTCTGACTGATTCCAATATAGCACTGACAGATCTAACAGACTTAAAAATAACACTACTTAAAAATCCTTAACATAAAACCTGCTTTACAAAAATCATCTGACCAACTTCAGAGTTTTGCTACCAAAAAAAAAAAACTTGCTCAGAAGCTGATTTTTTGCTAGATACTATTATCCAATATATGCTTTCATTCTGCAAGCACAGCTATTTTAAAATTGCCCCATGTCTTCAAATTGAGAGGCTAAAAATGCATCTTTAGTCATTCCAGCTCTTCAACCCTTAGCCCATGTTACAGACAGATGCCATGAGAAAGACTTTCAAGACTCTCTTACAGGATAGAAACTAAACTACAATTAAAACAATTTCTGACCCAAGGACGAGGTTCAAAAGTTTCTACTCTGATGATTGACATTTCAAGACATCGTTCTATGATCTACTCAACCTTTCACCTTCAAATAAGCAACAAAACAATATACTAATGATATCTTTGGTGACTCACACATCTGACTAATGTTAGCGTTTTCCAACAGTGTTACGTAGCCAGTGATATTGCTTGGAATGTGAACATCTCGGACCTCCTGGAGACTGCTGGCATTCCTTCCCACTGCCACCGTAACTTGCTGTGGCATGTAACTCTGGTCATTAGCTGCCACCGCAATGGACAGATGTCTCAAAACAACATCTGGTTTCATCTTTAAACTGCAAAGCAAAGAAGATAAAACAGTTTTTGCAAAGAGAAGTCAAGCACTTCACTTTTAGCTAAGCTTCACTCAGTTTCCACTTTTACAAACACAAATAAATCCACTGGAGATTACCTAATGCTTCACAGGCATTACCAACCCTGTATCGTGGTGGACAAGTTGGAAAACTTGTAATTGATCTAAAAGACAGTAATCTCTGATAGTGAGACTGTAGAATTTTCTACTGTTCAGCTTTTCAACTGAGAATTCATTCGTTAGTAATAAAAATGTAGTCTCAGAATGAGATTTTTTTTTTTTTTAAAGTACACATTCTTAGATCTACTACCGAAAACCACTAAGCATTTCTGTTTCATGGAGCAGTAACTTTCTAGACAGTGGCAAAGCACTTCTATTCAAGTATTGACCACTGCATCTGTAAAACCATTTGGAAAGCTTCGCTACAAAACAAGAGTATGTGTCAGCATGGAAGATGAATGCATTTTACAGGTGAACACTTTGACTTGGTAAAACTTTACGTAGAGGTGAGTGACTCCTGCTTTCAACTATAGTCATCTGTCACTCGTTAATTCCACAATTTTTTTCAATTACATCCCACTGGCTGTAAAACCTAAGGACTAACTACCCCAACACTCAGCAGTATATTGCTGTGTCACTCACCGTATCCAATGTGAGCGAGCACTCCCATCCGACTGCCAGAAAGATGTTGTTTCTCCATTTGTCATCTTGTCAATATCAGCAGAATTGGACGAGGTTTCTATGTGAGTATAGCACTTCGTGACAGACTTCAGCTTGTCCGACTCCTCGTTACCATTCAAATCACTGGGGTATTCTGCAAAGAAAAGAAATCACTCATAATATTCTTCTTTAGCTTGTTCTGAGAATTGTTATACCTTTATAATAACTATCTCATATAAAGTAACTTGTTGGCATAGAGCACAGCTCCTGAAGAAGTGTTTCTGACAGAAACTAGAAGACAGCAAAGTTTCATTTCAGACGAAATCACAATAATCTCCATCTACCACTTGCAGTAGGAAAACACCTACTTTGGAGTTCAACAGCCTTTATCTCCTCCTTTCATTATTTGCCTCATCAGTGCTTTATTATTACTATGCCAAAATACAAACATGTGAGAAGAAAAAGTAAAATACAATGGAGAAAACCTCAATTTAGCTATTCTAGAGAAGGGACAAAACAGACAGTTTCCCCAAGTAACTTGATCTGTTTCAATACAAGTGCAGAAATCTGAAAATATCAAGTCAATCTGTGAAGAAAAGGAGTCCTCCCCTCTAGGGAGGCCACCAGGACAGTCTCATCTGAAATACAATAAAAGATTCACTACCTCCACTCCAAAACAACAAATTATTTTTTAATACTGAACAGTCAACTTCAGAAAACATTCACCTTTACATGGAAAGTAAGTTTCCAGCAACTATTAGAGATGTTTGATTGAACAGAGAATACCGTAAATTAGTAATTGTCATTCTGAAACGTGTCAGGAGAAGGATGAAAAGCATCCCAGTGTGTTACTCAGATTGCTAGACAGTTAGAAAATCAATTAATGTGCCTCAGAAAAACACACATAAACATGCAGATCAATTTCACAAAAAGTCATGTCTGTTAAAGATTAAAATAAAAAACTTTCTTTTCTGTTTATCTTCAAGCTACGGTTACATGACCATCCTGAAAAAAAAAGAGAAAGATGTTCCGTACCTCTCTCTTTTAGGAGAAGTCTATCTAAGGAATCCTTCAACACAGAAGACCGCATAGTACAGATATTGTTGAAGTACTCCAACACTGGGTAAGGGATGGCAGTACTAGAAATCCGATTCCGGTGCAAGAATCTCAGTATCATTGAAGCATGAAGACCAAGACGCTCTTTCGATTCGGAAAATATATCAATAAAACCTAGAAAGAGACATTATTTCTATCTTTGTTGCAACATCTGGCTTGACTAAGTCGTCATTTTCTCCCTCTGCATCTCACTACTAGTTAAATCCAAGTTAACCATGGGAGTCAATATTGGAAGTACATTCCACGGTATGAAGTAGCTCAAGTTTGCAACCTTTACAACAGGACTGTGAAAGGTGCAGGCAAATATTTTTACCAGTCACTTGAAATGCCTGAAGGGGTTCAAAACAATTAACGAAAAATCTTAGTTCCTACGCTTATTTCGCTGTGCCAAAAGTTCCAATCCTTTACCTTCAATACCTAACACGAAACAGTTGCTGCATGACTAACAAGTTGATGTACTCACATCACTCACCTTGAACTATGCTGAGCATCTCACTTTGGTATTGTGGATTATTCCCAATAAAGGCACCAAAGAGATGCCTAATGCTTTCCACCAACTTTGTGAAAAATTTCAGCTCCTTCACAGCAGTACTCCGAATCACAGTGCATTTAGATGCATAGAATAATACCCCATAAGTTCTCTCCTCTGACTTCTCTGTTAGCCAATTCCAACACTCCTTGTCTGTTCCTCTAAGGCAAAATCCCCTTTAGCCACTTATCATCAAAAGCTTGGAAGGAAATCCAGTAACTGATACTTATCCCAGAAATCAAATTTTGAAAACTGACACCTTCCAAACTATATGCTATAAAACATGATTTATATTGTAGCAGGATTTCAAATGTTAAATAACGATATAAAGTATATGACTCATCACCAGAAACAGACTCAATGGAGGATTTATTCCTCTGGTTACCACGTACAAGACTGCTTTAGCCACTCACCAAAATGTTGCAAGGAACTGTTTTCTGTCTGTGAGATAAACTAAACAAGGATAAGCAGCTCCCCAGTCATGCAGAGAAGAAAATACTTGTTATTTACAAAATTAAGTTAGCTGGATGCAATTATGGGAAATTTTTAATTTACAGCAACTTCACTTGTTTGATACCAGAGAACTGAGAATGCCTTGGAGTATGGTTTTGATAAGATCGGGACAAGCAGCACTATCAAAGCAATTTATTGAAGCAGCACCCCTAATATAAGGCAGGATTTGGGAAACCATTTGTTTTGTTGCTGTTCTCATACCTGGAACTAGGGAACAAGCTTGCAGTTGCCTGATTACATGGCTAAGCTCCCCTTGAAGATTAGCTCCACTAGAGTTCTTCAGAGCCTCCAGCATATTCTCCACATCTACGGTGCCATCTCCTTCAGCATCAAATTGTGCAAAGGCCTGAAGAGGAACAAAAAAAGAAAATTTATTTTATTTTACTGAAGCCGAAACTCAAGGTATTTCATAGAAACCGTAGCAGTAAACATTATAACACCATTAAATAAAAATCAAAAGAATTCATTTTCTGTAGTATTGAATTCATGACAACAGAAAACAGCCTGGTTGGAAATGTGCAGTCTTTACCTAGTTTGAAGGCATTGCACTGCCTTCCTGTAAAAGTCAACTGTAGTTATGCTTAGGTGGAGACAGCATGTCATCTGCATCAATGAACCAGCAGTATCCATCCGCTGACACCCGTGGCTGTGAAGGAGGCACTCACAAAAGAACACTAAAAAGCTCTTCCATTAAAGGGTGCGTTCGTTCTAAAAGCCACACTGTCCACTACCCATTAATGCTGCACCCATCTCACACTGCATCCAGTCTAATATTTCAGGTTTTAAATATTTTCTTTAAGAAAGTGTCCTTAGAATCAGATTTTTTAAAATGCGTATTTCCTTCCATCTATTGTCCTCCTACACAAAATACCAGTTAAACATAGTTTGTCAAAGTATTTGTGAAAACAATGGAGAAAGTTTGAAAAGACTTTTTTTCCCTTATTGAAGGGAACCATTGCGGCTTTATTAACTCTGACCTTTACTATAGATTTTTAATATAAAAACTTGTGTTTAGCATGTATGAAAAGTAACTCTCACAGCTTTGCATTTCATATTGTCCTGGTTTCAGCTGGGATAGAGCTAATTTTCTTCCTAGCTAGTATCGTGCTGCGTTTTGCTTCTAGGATGAGAATAATGTTGATAAGTCAAGGACTTTCCACCTTCTCACACTGCTCTGCCAGCAAGGAGGCTGGGGGTACACAAGAAGCTGGGAGGGGACACAGCCAGGACAGCTGACCCCAACTGACCAGAGGGGTACTCCATACCATATGATGTCACGCTGAATAAAACTGAGGGGAGTTGGCTGGGGGCCGCCAGCCGCTGCTCGGGAACCGGCTGGGCATCGGTCTGTGGGTGTTGAGCAATTGCATTCTGCATCATTCGTTTCATATGTTCTTTTATCATTATTATTACTCCTTCCTTTTCTGTCTTGTTGGACTGTCTTTATCTCAATCCAGGAGTTTTACCTTTTTTTCGATCCTCTCCCCCCTCTCACTGGGGGGACCGAGCGAACGGCTGTGTGGTGTTCAGCTGCCTGTCGGGTTAAACTACAACTCACACCTTTGTAATAACAAAAGTACAAGATATTTTTATTGACCTAAGACTCTGAAACAGAACTAAGATCATAAATGTACATTTTTTTAACTAGCCACTTCAGAGAATTCACGATGCAGTGACATACTGCTATTAAAAAACCCCTAGCTGTATTTTCACAATTGTATCTAGTTTGGAAATAAACTTCTGTTTAATTGCTAAAAAAAAAAAAATGAACATACCCCAAAAAGAAATGCAGTATTTCAGGAACCTCCATTTTTTTCATATAACGGCACTTCTGCAGCACAGAGCTGAATTTTAGCTTAGTAGATTTATAAACTCTTGTGAAACACACAGCTGAACCCACGCTAACAACGATTAGCTTTAAAAAACCCTTTTCTTAACAGCACAGAGGGCCAGTGCTGGGCATCCAGAAGGTGCCACAGCCAGTACAGACGACTGATGCTGGGCATTAGGTAGATACTGGAACAAAAAACTAAGACCTTTGCTCGAGGACAACCATACAGAGAGAATTAATTTTAACAAACATAACTCTTTAAACAAATTCCTTGTACTTTCATGCAACAAAAGATTACCACCCATACGCTTGTCTTAATGTAGTATTTTGTTATTTTATTTTTTAACTATAATCTCAGGAGATCACACCAAACCTAGAACTTTAAAATTATTTTTTGACTGTTCAATATAACTTAAACTCTATATTTGACACAAAACATACAGTTTCTGCTGCTCAGGCAAGCTACCCTGTGCAATGGAGCAAAAAAAGAAAAAAAACCCAAACCAGTATGTAAACCTGTCCTCAGAGCTTTTGAGTTGTGTTCAAGACTGGGACATGGTACAAATACAGTAACACTTACCACAACCCAGCTGTATTCTGATCCTAAATAAAAGCATTAAGTCCACGCACTTCCTACCCAGCTCAACCCTGAACATGAAGAAATGTAAAAGAAACATCTTTCCTGGGAAATGATGGCTAAGGTGATCGCTAGGAAACACAGCACACGGAAAAATCACCCCCCCCATTTCACAGGCAGCTCAGGATTCAGACAGCATGACAGAATATCTGAAGTGTGACTTAGGAAAAATCTGTATTTCACCCGTCGCTCTCAGCAGAACTGAAGCACTAACATTTCAAGCAAAACTTGGACACGTTACATGAGAACTGCTGAAGCACTAATGAATGAAAAAGGATTCAGAGGTTCGGTCCATCCAGAAAACAGATTTTGTATTTAAACAGAGGTTCATTTTGCCAATAAAGCATTCAAAGTATGCGATTCACAAGCCCCACCCTGAGAGTAGAAAAGCTTAACGGGCAGATCAAAATTCAGCCTATGTCAGACAGGTTTCTGTGAACATGAAGAAGTGAAACCTATTGACCTGCCACCCACAAACCAATGTCTCATCAGTGTAAAACACATCCTGGAAATCTAAAACACTACAGTGAATGAGCTAATGTCAGTTAAAGAAACGACGTCATCGAGGTTTTCGACACAACTCCCAAGATCTCAGCTTCACAGAATAGACAAGATGTGACCACATACCCACACCACAACAAATCCTTTGACGAGTTTCTCCCCCACTACCAAGAGCGGGGGAATAAAAAACCAAACAACAAAACAAATCGAATAACCAAACTGTATTTTCATCCAGAGGAGGATGTGCGATACAGACAATCCTCAATATTTCTGCAGCCTACAAAGCTCAGTTGTATGTGCTGACAGAAAGAATCCTGATGTACTGATTTGGCTCTTACTGCCATTGCAAACGACAAGTGTTCTTTACTGGCTCTTATAAAGGAACTGGAAACGGAGACAGCATTTTAGCAAGTTACTTAAAACAGGCTGGTATAAACATACCTATCTGTAAAACAAAATTAATCTCTTCCCAGTTTCCAGTAGACTTGTTAATATGTCAGCACTGATTTCAAGGAGCGTATGTGCGATTTAACAGTTCACCAAGTTATTTGACTACTCAGGAGCAACACAAGACAGAAGGAAGTCACTGGCGAGACACAGGAACTGCATGCAGTAAGAAATTCAGACACAACCACTTTCTCAACTGAGTGTGAAATTCCCAATAGAGTATTCCACTGCATTTTAGACACTAGCTAAAGATTAAATGTTCTAGATGTTAAGTTCCTCATACCCCTTCCCATAGCAGAAAGGAAACTGTACTCCCTTCTACCCCCTAAAACCTTACCTTAAGACTTCTGTCTATGGAGAGGGAACTCTGTTAAATTACTTTCTTATAAGTCTTCCAAAACTCTTACTTTACAATAAGTAATGGGACACCAATGAGATATTTGACAATTTCACTGCTGATTTTGAAGAGCAACAATAAAATTAAGCCTGCTAAACTTAGACTTGCTGATATCACTAAGAAGTAGCTCAGAGGAATTACTAGTACAGAATTTCCTATCTGCACTATCACTAGCTGCACTAGTAGCAGCGGCAGAAGCATTGTTGTAAATAACCGTTTAATGCGCTGTGGCTGCTGAGCGTAGTCACTGCTGACAGGCACGAATGAAAAAGAGATCTCTGAGCTGACAGCCTGCCTCCCAGTAGCAGCAGCCCCTTCTTTAGCCTTGCTGCAGAGCCCTCCGGCCTGGCCTTGCTCCAGCTATCGGGAGGGTGACCGGGGTCTCCACGGCCGCACCGCTCGAACCCCATGCCACGGACCCGGTGCGAGCGCACCCGCACCGAGGGCCCGGGAAGGGCCCCCTGCGCAGGGAGACACACCTCCAGCAGCACCCCAGGGGTTTCCACCGCCTCCCTTCCCGCTGGTCGTGCTCCCACTCCTCTCCTCGTTCCCCCCCCTCTCACCCGCGCACTCAGGCCTCTCCGGAAGGACCTAGTTTTGCCACTGCTCCGCGCCCGCGCAGCCCCTCG